ATATATGTGTGTGTGTGTGTGTGTGTGTGTGTGTAATAACAGTAATAAATCACAGTTAAAATTTTGGCTGATACCAAAGACCAATCATAATTTCAAAAGTACAAAAGACACTGAAAATTAAATAATTAAAATTAAATTTAGGCAACACATGCAACATTAAAGGGATAGGTCAATGGGAACCAAAACTGTTTGGTTATTCTTCAAAATATCTTCGTTTGTGCTCAGGAGTAGAAATGTATACAGGATTGGAATAGCATAAGGGTGACGGGAATAGCATGTCAATTTTCATTGACAGATAGAATGATAGAATATCCATTTTTAGTTTATCCCTTTAATGTACTGTACGAACTATGTGTAACAAAGAAATTTGAGATCTTCTAAAAAGCATCCTTATTATAATGGTGTATATCATCCGTGATAAAATTATAATAATGATATAATGGATTGGATATGTCTACCGTGTGCATCTTATAAAATGACACCTGAAAAGACAGAAAACATTTGTTTTTCGGAAAAAAAAAAAAAAAGTCAAAAATAAAATGAAAGTAGAGGAGAATAAGAAAAAGCAAAAAGCAGAGTGAAAGATGAGACAGACTACAAACATAAAGCATAGCTAAAGTGAAAGGGATAAGAAGAGGGTGTGAGAAAGCGTGCTTATCAGTGAACCAGCAGAAGGTCTGCTGATGACTGACAGCAATGACACGACTGAGTGAGCCAAAATCAATCTCAGTACTCTCAGATAAGACTAAACTAAACAACGCTCCCTCGAATGCTTAAAGCCACTAGTCTCTAAAACCCACAGCAAAGACTGGAGTCCCCTCAAAGCCTCTCTGCATAACCAGAGAATACATCTACCCAAAAATGAAAATTCATGATTTGCTCAAGTAATTGATAGCAGTATGTCCAAGCAGCTGCTCCTTTCAATGCAATAAAAGTGAATGGTGACTTAAAGATGTTAAAGGCTTTATTTCAGTCTTTTCCTTATACAAAGCTATTGAATGTGTTGGAATATATAGCAGAGTATTGATGCTTTTTTGGTCAATTTTGGAGCTTGACAGCTAGTGTTCGTCTGCTTTAATTGTATGGAAAAGAACAGCATAAACATTGCTAAATATATGCTAAATTTCTCTTCAAGTGTTCCAAGAAAGAACATCATATAGGCTTGGTATGACATGAGTAGACGTCATGACACAAATCTTTTATTTATAGGAAAAAAAACGGCTCACAAAATGATTAGGACACATACTGAATCTGTACTGTATAAACACCATGAGGCATCAGTTTATCATAACTCTCACTCAGCAGAGATACAAAACTCCCAAATATTCCCAAATCATGTTCCTGTTATCAGTCTAATTCTATCCTCCCAAATACAGTTTGTGATTATTATATGTGACCCTGGACCACAAAACCAGTCTTAAGTCGCTGGGGTATATTTGTAGCAATAGCCAAAAATACATTGTATGGGTCAAAGTTATTGATTTTTCTTTTATGCCCAAAATCATTAGGACATTAAGTAAAGATCATGTTCCATAAAGACATTTTGTAAATTTCCTACTGTAAATATATCAAAACTTAATTGTTGATTAGTAATATGCATTGCTAAGAACTTCATTTGGACAACTTTAAAGGTGATTTTCTCAATATTTTGATTTTTTTGCACCCTCAGATTCCAGATTTTCAAATAGTTGTATCTCGACCAAATATTGTCCTATCATAACAAACCATACATCAATGGAAAGCTTATTTATTCAGCTTTGAGACGCTGTATAAATCCCAATTTCAAAAAATTGACCCTTATGACTGGTTTTGTGATCCAGGGTCACATATGAGAATGTAGCCATGTTCTATCTGCTGTGAGTTACATAATCAAAGCGTAAAGGTTACACACGTGTGAGCATTTTCAAGGGTCAAACCAGTCAATGTTATGCGTGTATTCTAAAGGTCATTCTGTAACACTTTACTTGAAGGGGTGTGCATAAGACTGACATGACACCTTCATAATCATGACATGACAGATTATGAAGGTCAGTCTTATGCACACCCCTTCAAGTAAAGTGTAACCGGTCATTCTGTACTGGTTCGCCACATTTCTCAAGAACCGTCTCATTAAAGGGCCGATGCACTAACAATAGGATAATGTGGTTATATCACAATATGACCTAAATGACACTAACCTCCTGATTTGACATAGTAAAATCAGGAGAGGGTGAAAGTAAACATTTTTTAACTCCAAAGTAAATAGCAACGAGGAACAAATGGCACATGTTATATTACTTTGTAATCTAGGTGTTATCAGGTCGTGATAAGCTGCATATGAATTCGTACTACTCTTTAATACTTACTGAACTTACCAGTGGCAATAAATCCTCTTACCTTTGATGCAGTAAGACATAACAGAGAATGATAGGTTTGTAACACCTATTTGTACACCCAGGATTTTCTTGTTCTACATGTTTCACATTGTTCATTCAATTCCCTGGGATGGGAATTTACATGGTATGCCTTTGCAGCCTCCAATTTAGGGTTAGCTTATAACCTAAGGCTGGTTATGCTGACTGATGTACAAGTGTGAATACACAGCTTAGCACAGAGTTAAAAGTGGCCTTTAAATGGGGATAAAGAAGATTATGCAGGATTAAACTCAGGATGAAAATCTCTGAATTTAATTAATGAACTCAGAAAGTGCACAGAATACAGGCCATTGTTTTGAGGTATTTTAACACCCACACAGGAAAGGATTTAAACAGATGAAAGGATTACAGAGCCAGATCTTGAAAATCCACCTAAATAGGCATCTGTGCATACCAGTTAACCTATCCATCTGAAAATGCCGAAAACCTCTTCAACTGGTGAGGATGGTGCTGTGCTTACAAACAAAAAGAGCAATAAGTAGACCTAAAAATGCCTTAATTAAAATGGAAAAATGCCTGAAGGTGTCTGCATGATATGAAAGTATGTTTCTGCTTCAGAATAAAAAATAAAGTAACTCTTACCTTATTTATATATATATTTACATATATATATTTTTTTTTATTGAATTCCAAGAATACAAAAAATTCAGTAGGTTCTCAATATATATTTAACAATCTTTGTAAATGCGAATAAGGACACATAAGGAAGAATGTAATTAAAACTACATTAAATGTATTAAAACTATTAAAAAATGTAAAATGTTTTTTTTTTTAATTGGACAACCTTACTGCCCAGCCACATCTCATCAAGGATGAGATGTCATTATCAGAGGGAGGGGACTTTAATATTTTTTATTAAAAATTGTGAGTTCAAGTGAATAAAATAATAATGATGATATGATAAATACTGAAATATACCCTAAAGAAATAAGGAAAGGAAAAGGAAAGAATGTGACGTGTGGCCAAGTATGGTGTCCCATACTTGGAATTTGTGCTCTGCATTTAACCCATTCAAGTGCACACACACAGCAGTGAGTAGTGAACAAACACACACCCTGAGCAGTGGCAGCCAGGTGCCTGGGGAGCAGATGGGGGTTCGGTGCCTTGCTCAAGGGCCTCACCTCAGTCGTGGTATTAGATATTCCACTTGTTTAGAGATTTTGTTCAATAATGAAGCATTTTTCATCAGAACTGACTTCACTTTTATAAACAGTTTTGCATTAATCAAACAATCAAAGTGACTTTTAGGGTATGTTTTGCTTGAAAACTGCTTGTGCTGTCTTCAAAAATAAATGGCCATTTTAAAAAAAAATTTTCCCCTAATGTAATGAAACTCGTACATTAAGTGTCAAAATATTTCTGGGGACACTGCACAAGTTTGCTGTGTGGAAAGTCACTCATCACTATGTACTAAATGTCATGCATGCATTTAATGGTGTGATGTTCTTACCTCCCATCGACCGTAGGTCAGCAGGAACAGGCTCAAGGGTATGGCGGTACCGGACATGGCATGCGTGGAGGGCATGCTGTACTCCGAGTTGTAAAACATCTCCACCTTGACCACCGGGGGCGAGGCAGGTCTCGGCCAGCGGATCACATCTTTCGTGCACTGGCCGAGATACATGACCCACACCCAGACGACGACTAACCGGCGGCTCACATACGCGTCCACGTTCCACATGAAGAACGGGAAGAATGAAATGTAGAACAGCTCGTTCCCAAGCTCGGTACCAAGCGTGAACAGGTAGTAAAGAAACTTATTGTCGATTTTGAACTCCTGCCCGACGTCTCCGGTGAGAGAGTTTCTGCGCAACGGCTTTACCGCGGATTCTTGAGCCTCGACCCCGTCTTTATCCCGCGCCTGCCTGTTGACGTTTTCTCCCGCAGCCCCGTTCGCCACGCTGTTATTGCGTTTCTCCCTGTCGCTCTCTACTCCTGCTGTCCTACGGCGGGTGGCATCCCCTTCTCCGTTCTGAACATCCCCGTGGCGAGTGCTTGGCACCCCGTTACAGAGTATGTCACGCGGTTCGGTCCCGCACACCCCGCACAGCCGTTGGAAGCGCGCGACGTGCTGAGGGTCCTGCAAATATTGCATGAGACGAACGAATCCCGCTTTCAACCCGCCTGCCATGTCCAGCGACAAACTGCGCAAGTTGAATCCGCCCGGTAAGACCAGGAGAAGCTTGAGCTACTGAGAATGAACCGTGCTGTGGGTTATTAAACCTTATTAAACCACTTCCTCCATTGCTGTGCTTATAATAACAAAACGCCCATTCTAACCAAGACAAATAGACTTATAACAGCTGTTAATGTTATTGCTGGACATATGAAGAGAAACTGAACCCCAAAAAACTACTTGCAACGATTTACAAACCTCCCCCCACGCCGTATCCGGTGTTGTGTAATATACAGTTCCTGTGAAAAACTGTTCCAGTGGGTGGAGTAAACATGAATATTCATTATGTTCCCATATTGTGGGCGTGTCCTTGAGACAACACGCAAAAGAATGGAACTGAAAATATTAGTGCACGCTCTTCAAATCGCAACTTGTTTAATGGATTATTTCGAAAAGGTAACGAAGTTTCAATGTGAATAATTAAATGCAACAGTGTCAAAACAATGCATAAGTTTGTGTAATATGATAAATCGTCTGAGCTGTTCTGCCTGAATGATTACAGGCACACAGCAGAGCAAACAAGAAGCGAATAACCTGTGCTTAACCAGGCTAATATAGTTTTTACTCTTTGCTGTACTAAGCTTTTTATTTCATTTGTGAGACTAATTTTTGTTTGAATAATTTGATTAGTAGCCTACCTAGATGGCATTGGTGACTAGTACAGTGTGCTTACAACAGTGCTTGAAATAAACCTCTACAAATGTATCTGTGGCCTAATAAAATGTATGTAAGTTAGTCTGTTGGAGTATTCTGTGTCATTCTTAATTTCTTGTTTATTTTGTATATAGCCAGTATTTCTGTTACCTATAGAAGCTACATAACTACCGAGAATTTTTTTTTAGTTAAAATGCTAATCATTATAACAAACATTGCAGTTTGTAATTGATTAAATAATACAGTGCATAAACCTTTAAAGCACTGTTATGATGGCACAATCTTCTTGGACATAGGTCAGCAGCTACTCCAAGAATATTATTTTATTTTTATTTTAAGAAATCATACATAGGCCTATGTCATCATCACCAATGTCATAATATGGCTTTGTTTTGCTTTTGTGATGTTTCCACATATATTGATCTTCGTGTAAAGTCACTGGTTCAGATGTGAGAGTCACTGGTAGCTGATAACTGTGTGAACTGGACATAGGCTGTTTTAATAATGATCTCAGACTCCAGACACTCACTTAATTTTGCATTGCTTTATTCCATATACACATATTGTTTTGAAAGTTTCCTCGTCTTTTCAATTTGAGTTATATTCATAAAGCAATTACTTCCGTACTTTTAGTAACATTTAATGAATGTAACTAATATGTATATAATATATAATATTTATATAACCCTGGGGGCAAGCGAGTTGGGGCAAGTTCAAGCTCAAACCGGTGTGCACCGTTTTGCTACGGTTTCCGGTTTGAACGACATGTTTCCTGGAAACGATGTGCAACGGGGTTTGAGAAATACGGTCATATAGATCATAACACAGTCTCGGAGGTAAGAAGTGGATTATCCTTCACCTGAAATGTTTGTCTGTTCATCCTGAAATGCGAGGCAAATGTTGGATCACAATAATTAGGAACCACGGTTTGCACAAATCCCTTCACTTGATTGCGTTCTCTTTTATTCTGGATAGCAAGGGCAGTGACTGTACCATCGAGCATATTTTGCAGTATTAAACACGTATTTATACCGATTTCATCAGGCTCCGAAAATTTTTCAAAAAGAACACAAAGAATGGCCTTCTCAGCTGCCATAGTTGTAACTCTTGCGTCATCAGAACAGGGTGTTCAACGCACCACCGTTTCCGTTTAAAAAACGTTTTGCACTGTTTTGTCGGGGCTGAACGCAGCCCTGATTGAGTGTCCAAGTCATGTGTCTTGTTCCTAATTGGTTGGATTGTGTCATGTGACCCTGATTGTTGGGTATATATAGCCCTCATGTAGCCTTTGTCTCTTGTCGTGTATTGATGTTGTAACCTGCTGTCGGTGAGTCTAGTTTGTTCATGCCAAGTCAAGTCCGATCAAGTCAAGTCAAGTCTTTGTTTGTTTTTTTGGATTTCACTTTGTTAAATAAAAGCTGCACTTGGGTTTATCATTACACTTGCCTCAGTGGACTATCGTTACATAGTTCAAATAGCATCCATCGCTATTTGCACTTAGTGTAAATAGCATCTATTCATTTCCGCGAACCGATTCTTTTCGGACAGATCAGCTCATTGAACCGGTTCAAAAAGCCAATTCATCGGTTCCTGACATCATCAAGCTAAAATGTCTCTACGCATTTCTTTTCTAACAAAGTGCAATGTTGTATCAATGAAAAATTCAAATAAGTAATTTGTGTCAACACATATTGAAACATTAAAAAAAATAAAGTTATTTGTGTGAAAGCATATTGCTGATTATTACCATACAATTCACTTAAGTTAATGGTGTTTGTGGTCACAGTTTCATTCGCGGATCCTCAGATACGACTGACTGACCAATATTGACTTCAACACACCACCGTTTCCGTTTAAAAAACGTTTTGCACCGTTTTGTCGGGGCTGAACGCAGCCCTGTTACTGACAGATCCGCGCGACCACGAGTGGGTAGAGTGAAATTAAGCAAGAACCGTGTGTTCAAAATAGGCGGGGCTTAGCAGCCCAGACAATGTGTATGATTGGTCAGTTACCATGGGTCGAAATAAAAAGAATAATATTTTAACTCTTCGCTGTTGGATATTAATCCAACTGTTATAAAATATAATGATTTACTTTATTTACATATAAAATATTACCCAACCCGCCCCTGAAACATCATAGAGCCAGCATTCACGTGGTAGCTGTTACTTTTCACAGCGCTGTGGATTGATTGGCCAACCCTAGAAGTTTGTGATTAAGAGAGATTATAAAGCTGATTTATATCCGTACGTCAAGTATTAATCGTTCAGGTTCACGAGAACGCTTTTAGGCCGTTTCTCAAACGGAAGGCTGCATCCTCCGGAGTCCGGAGGTCGCATTTGTAGGCTGATACGTCATAAAGAAGATCTTATTTTAGAATATTAACAGTTATAAATTTGACCATTATTCTTAGTTAAGCGTAAATTGTTGTAATATGCTTATGACTCGCGAATATAATGCTCGGTTAACTGAAATAAACCAGGCTTAATGACGTATGCAGCCTGTAAATGCGACCTCCGGAGGAGCCTTTCGTTTGAGAAACGGCCTTAGTGTAAAAACGTTTTGAGATTTAAATATAGTTCAATGGAAAATTCGGATTCTTGTGCCGCAAAGCGCCCCCTGGAGTAAGACTACTTTTGTCAAGGAAACGTTTATCAATATTTGCCGCCCAATGGTGCGTTGACATGCACTCGAGACTCGGCATAAGCTGGAGGAAAAGGCCAATACTGATACATTTTTTATGTGCATATATTTATTTACACAGATTTATTTACACAAGTTGTTTTAGTGAAACATTCAATATTATATTTTTATTTGACTGCAGTGCCATGAAAATAGACAATTCTCGTATGCTACTTTTAAATCTTTTGGCAAAATAGCACTACATTCTCTGAGGAATAGTGTTCTCTTTGAAACAAAAAAATAGCTCCATTTCTAAATAAACTTGATATCCATGTCTATGCTTTGAAATGTCCAAAAGATAGCACTTTGAATTTAGATTTCAGTACATTACATTCAGATATTGAATAATTATAATACACATACAAATGTGCATAAACATACACACAAAATATTAATAGTAAGAGTACCAGTCATTATTAGCCGTACCAAAATATTTTTTGCACAACTTTGCCTGTTAGAAAACTTTATGTAACCAACGTATGAGAGACGTGCACAGCGATATGAGACAAGAACAGGATCATCTGAGGTTCTGTGTAAGAGTGAATGGCAGATTTTACACTACATTGTGTATGTATACCTTGTTTTCCTTGTTAGTCATAAACCGTGGTTCTGTGCACCCACATAGCTAGGGTTTTCAGATCCAAAGATTAGAGCCAGAAATGTAGAAAATCCATGTGTGTGTGTGTGTGTGTGTGTGTGTAAAAGGAGGCATTGGAAACTCAGTACACTGGCCAGACAACCTGGACAGACAGCCGAAATTTGTTACAAGGTACAAATGAGTGTAAAACAGCATTATAAATGGCGGGAAGTACAGTTGATTGAATGAATGAAGCAAAGTGGCCTATGTAGCTGAGAATTCATCGCCATAACACTAGATGGCAGAGTCACCTTAACAGAACAGTTTCTGGTAGCAAATGCAGTAAATAGTTTTGTTTTTTTACATTGTGAAAGCTGCATGTCACTACACTCTCAGAAAAAAGGTACAAAAACTGTCATTGGGGTGGTACTTTATATAGGTACAAAAGCTAAAAGGTACATCTTTGTACATTATTTACCCCAAGTGGTTTATATTAGTATCTTAAATGTGCGTATTAACACATTTAGAAAGGGTACTGCATGATATGGTGAGTTTTGTACTTTTTTTGTTGAGAGTGAGACCCTGTTTAAACCAAAAAACCAGAAGGCCTTGAAATAAATAATTTTCACTTCTTATTTGCCCCTACATTTTCATGTTTTCTTTTATTTTTTAATTTTTTTGTTAAAGGTATGGAAACTTCTTTAAAAAAAAAAAAATTTAATTAAATTACTAGTTTGACATTAGTAGCCACTTACACAAATATTTCCATATCACAGCAACAAAGCTTTAGTAAAATCACTCCATCCTTAGGAGCGGCCAGGACTTTGACACTTACAATTTTAATTTTTGTCTTTTTTCTTACAACATAATATAACAACCACAAGGTGCATGGCTTTTCGTTTGCCTTTTTTATCCCTGAAAACAGTGCTTAAGATTATAGCTCACTCAAGCAAATTTATGAAAATAAAATGTCTGTGGTCAAAGTTCATATCAACAGAGCAAGGCAGTGATAACAAGATGATGTCTTTTTCCGGTTAGAAAATGCACCCTGATATGGACAGACACCTGTCACGTCACTAACCGCAGAGGTCATGCTCACCAGCACAAGCACAAATGCACACAAACCCGAATCCCCTTCTCCCTTAATTTTGGCTCCTGGAAATCAGTCGTAGACAGATTGAAAAATCCCCTGCATGTGCTCGATGACATCTCATCCTTTATCATCTAAATGATAGAGTAGCACTGAAGCTCCATGATCAGGAGGCAGGGTGTGGCAGCTGCCCAGGCCACAGATGCACGAGGCTGGGGAGGATGAGTACGGCAGCAGCTTGTAC